CCCTTCACTACAGACCAGTGAATCACTGAGAACGCTATCCCTTCACTAGAGACCGGTGACATCACTGAGAATAAAGTCTATCCCTTCACTAGAGAGCGGTGACATCACTGAGAATGCAGTCTATCCATTCACTAGAGACCAGTGACATCACTGAGAATACAGTCTATCCCTTCACTATAGACCTGAACTTCACTAAGGGTCCAGCCTTTCCAAGCTCTTGTGGTCAGGTTCCAAATCAGCCGTACATATCCCCCAATAGGTACATCGAAGTTTTAAAGGAGGTAATTCTGCTGCCTTACAAAATACATCACATCAGCATAGTTTCCTTATAATGAAAATTCATACCTAATATGGGCTCATGAAACTATTTAAAAACATAATGGTTGGTTTAGCAATCATTTATATCCAATTAGATGCACTGCCAGAAAATCTCTGCAAGTTAAGGGACTGAGATCAGCTAAGCCGTACCAAGGGGTACCTGGCAAACACTGGCTCCACAGACTACAGATATCACCAAGAGTGCTTTAACATTTCAGTATGAACTTTACAAAAAAGGATTGCCGATTGGTTTATATAAATTAATGTCATCTGCACACTCCTCATTAAATAAAGGCAAAAGAAGCCCATCTCAGATTTCAAGAAAAAAAAAAAAAAAAAGTTTCTGTCTGTGACACTCATCTCCTTTCTGGCGATTCCCACCACAAAGTAACCCCATTACACTACAAGATGTCTTCAGTCTCTCGGTTCAATGATTCTCTTTAGTCAGTGGTCTCCAAACTGTGGCCGATAGGCTAGATGCAGCGTTTTATGCTGACCTGTTTCCAGTCCTTGGGACACTGTTCTACTCAATAATATGCAGCACCATTCTTCACGACGATGCCAACTATGGGGCACCATTCTTCACAACGATGCCAACTATGGAGCACCATTCTTCACAACAATGCCAACTATGGGGCACCATTCCTCACAACGATGCCAACTATCGGGAACCATTCCTCACAACGATGCCAACTATCGGGAACCATTCCTCACAACGATGGGGCACCACAACTATGGGGCACCATTCCTCACAACGATGCCAACTATGGGGCACCATTCCTCAAACGATGCCAACTATGGGGCACCATTCCTCACAACGATGCCAACTATGGGGCACCATTCCTCACAACGATGCCAACTATGATGCCAACTATGGGGCACCATTCCTCTCGACGATATCAACTACAGGGAACCATTCCTCGCAACGATGCCAAACACGGGGCATCATTCCTCCCAATGATGCCAATTACGGGGCACCATTCCTCGCAATGACATTAACTACAAGGCACCATTCCTCCCAATGATTACAATTGCAGAGCACCATTCCTCCCAACTACACCAAGGATGGGGTAGTAGTATTCCTACCACTAATACGGGGGCTCTAATCCTCCTCCTACTGACCAAAAGGCACCATGCAATTTTTTTTCTATTGCCACTGACCACCAGCCCTGAGACACTGTCTACTCCCACTGATGCTGCTGGGGCATTTTCTATTCCCACTGGCAAAATTTCACCCCCCCCCCAACCTTGACTAAACTCTGAAGGACTGAAAACGGGTCCTTTGTTTAAAACATTTGGAGACCCCTGCTCTATATCATTAAACCCAAAAGACTGAGGACGTACTGTCAGTGCAGGATGTGGTGGAACGAACCCTTAACAGTACATTACCAAATTACCATGTAATGATGCAGAAAGTGGAGTTAATGTGAAGGTCAGCACCACTCTCCATGTCATTGAGGACTGCCCAGCACCAGAGAAGATCGGAAAAGAAAGAGGACCATTTAAGCAACTATATTGGCCCAATGACTTTGTAAAAAGGTAAACTAAAAAAAATATTTTTTTAAAAAAGGAAGAAGAAATAGAGCTGGGCTCCTCCAAAGGAGAAAAGGGGGGCCCAGAGTTGAGCTTTAAAACCATTTAAAAAGTGACTAGCTTCCCCTTTTTCCATATTCCTCCCATCCAGTTAGTGATGTGGTGTCTGAAGGAGACCAGAGTCTTGTTACATTAGCATCAACACAACCACTCCCTGAGTGACTGGTCTCAAATTCAGTTTTCTGTAGGCCAAGTTTACACAGCTGTACAGGAGCCTAGAAGGGATCAATTAAAATGCACATTTACAATACAAGGGAAGTGTTTTAGAACACCTTGTCTGCTGGAACACTCCCAAAACTTGCTGAAACGCTTAGGACTCCTGGGGCCAAGATGTGGAAATGTAAAAGACTCCAGATGCATAGGGAACATGTTGGAACTTCTAGTGCCTCCACATCTGGAGGTCTACAACCTGTCCAAGCTGCAGATTCTCCCGAGAAACTACACTGAAAAGTTCAAACTCTTGTTTGTGAAGCTCCTACAGAAAATGATGGTGCCTAGGTCAACACCTACCACCAAAGGGGGTTGTAGCCTGTAATTGTGAACTACACAGATTTTTGTAATTTCCTCCTAGGCTTATCGCCAACTTCATCCAGGGGTAAAGACACTGATATATGCATCCTATTGTAGGACCCCTGCCCGTTCCACATTTCTCCATAACCCTGGTGGGACATTACCCAGGAGGAGCTCTACACAAACCAAGCCATGACCTAACAGATGTACATTCAAGGTGGCCAGTTGATGGAATCAAAAGTTCATTCATTCTATATGTTGAAATCACAATAGGCATAAAATGTGGTTTTGATCAACCACAAAATGCAAAGGAAAAATATCCTTTGAGTTAATTACTTTTTTTTTTTTTTATTAAAATTTGACAGAATTTCAATCTTTCAATAAACAATATTAGGCCTCATTCACACAAGCATACCCATACCGAAGGACGGTCCTTGCCTACACAGAGCGAGAGAATGTCACTAGCACACCACGGATCTCCAGAATGGATCTCCAGTGATCACATCATTATAAACAGAAGCAATGTTTCAAGACCCTCGTAGAACCCCTTCTTCAGGGACGTGATGTGCATCTGTGTGCCGGAGGTTCTATTCATGTCTACTGGGAAGCAGCAACTACAAGGCAAGAAATGTGTCACCAGCACACCAGGAAACCCCATAAAAGGGTCCAATGCTTTATTGTTTGATCACATCACAAGATAGCGATGTTTCGCTTCCACACAGGACCCCTTCATCAGGCATGAAGGGGCCCTGTGTGGCTCCAAAACTTATCTATCCTCTGCTGTGATCCTTCGATAAAGCATTGACCCTTTTATGGAGCTCCCTTGGTGTGCTGGGGACATACTCCTTGCCCTGAAGTCCTAGCTAGTGGGTGCTACAGTGTCCACTTACTGTTCAGACGTTTTTTTAGGAATGTGTGTGTTGGCGATATAAGTGGCTACATGGACACAGATGCTGATCCCAATGTGACACCTGGGTGGGTAAGTAGACCGAGCGCTTTCAGGGACATGCACTTGCACCCATAAAATTGGCTGTAAAATTGGGACCACAATAAATGTCAATGCACCCCAATGCACATATACCCAAGCACAACTGCGTATCTGCCTATATGGTGGACAAACATGCTTCAATAATGTTTTCTTTTCCAATCAATCTCCCCCGCTACGAATAATTGATCGATAGCCAACAACACAATAAATCAATGACACATACAAAGTTTAACTCAACTGATAGTTGGAAGATATGATGGCAAGTTATCCATCGTAGCGGTTTCCACCAGTCAACCTCATATTCCGTTCCGAAGTAATACAATTGAATTCATGACCAGATCATTATTTATTATAATTACTACAGGTACTTATATAGCGCCATCAATTTACGCAGTGCTTTACATATACCGTATTTGCCGGCGTATAAGACGACTTTTCAACCCGTGAAAATCTTTTGAAAAGTCGGGGGTCGTCTTATACGCCGGTATACGGCGAGCCGGTGTCAGGGCGGCACTTTTTCGAGGGGCGGCGCCACCCCCCCTCCTCCTCCAACGGACGCCAAGTACAGGGGTGGGCAGAGGGGCTGCTGTACCTTACCTGGCTCCGGTCCCACGACGATCCGGTCCAGGAAGCGCGGCTGCTCCTTCTTTCAGTTCGGCCGCTCGATGGTCCCGCCGCCCGCTCGGCTCTGCCTCCTCACCGGTGATTGGGCGCCAGCACTGGAAAGGCACACAGGCGACCAATCACCGGCGAGGAGGCGGAGCCGAACGGCCCCGCGAAAATCAAGCAGCCGAACTGAAAGAAGGAGCAGCCGCTCCTCTCCCCCACTGACACTAACGATGGGGCACTGTTCCTCCCCCACTGACACAATGATGGGGCACTATTCCTCCCCCACTGACACCAATGATGGGGCACTATTCCTCCCCCATTCTATTCCTCCCCCACTGACACCAATGATGGGGCACTATTCCTCCCCCACTGACACCAATGATGGGGCACTATTCCTCCCCCACTGACACCAATGATGGGGCACTATTCCTCCCCCACTGACACCAATGATGGGGCACTATTCCTCCCCACTGACACCAATGATGGGGCACTATTCCTCCCCCACTGACACCAATGATGGGGCACTATTCCTCCCCCACTGACACCAATGATGGGGCACTATTCCTCCCCCACTGACACCAATGATGGGGCACTATTCTCCCCACTGATACCAATGATGGGGCACTATTCTCCCCACTGACACCAATGATGGGGCACTATTCCTCCCCCACTGACACCAACCATGGGGCACTATTCCTCCTCCCCACTGACACCAATGATGGGGCACTATTCCTTCCACTGATACCAATGATGGGGCGCTATTCCTCCCACTGACACCAATGATGGGGCGCAATTCCTGCCACTGATACCAATGATGGGGCGCTATTCCTCCCACTGACACCAATGATGGGGCGCTATTCCTCCCACTGACACCAATGATGGGGCGCTATTCCTCCCACTGACACCAATGATGGGGCGCTATTCCTCCCACTGACACTAATGATGGGACACTATTCCGCCCACTGACACCAATGATGGGGCACGATTCTTCCCACTGACACTAATGATGGGGCACTATTCCTCCCACTGACTAATGATGGGGCACTATTCCTCCCACTGACACTAATGATGGGGCACTATTCCTCACACACTGACACTAATGATGGGGCACCATCATTGGTATTAGTGGGAGGAATAGTGCCCATCATTGGTATCAGTGGGAGGAATAGCGCCCCATCATTGGTGTCAGTGGGAGGAATAGTGCCCCATCATTGGTGTCAGTGGGAGGAATAGCGCCCCATCATTGGTGTCAGTGGGAGGAATAGCGCCCCATCATTGGTGTCAGTGGGAGGAATAGCGCCCCATCATTGGTGTCAGTGGGAGGAATAGTGCCCCATCATTGGTGTCAGTGGGAGGAATAGCACCCCATCATGGGAATACCATACTGAAATACCATACCATATTGAAATCAAATCTGATGTTTTTTCATTTTTATTTGGTGTGCGTTGGAAGAGGGGTAGTCTTATACGGCGAGTATAGCTCAAACCCTATATTTTAACAGGAAAAGTAGGGGGTCGTCTTATACGCCGGCAAATACGGTATATTGTACATTCCCATCAGTCCCTAACTCTCAAGGGGGGTACAATCTAAGGTCCCTAACTCACATTCATACATACACATACTAGGGCCAATTTAGACAGGAGCCAATTAAACTTTGGAGTGTGGGAGGAAAGCGGAGTACCCGGAGGAAACCCACGCAGGCACAGGGAGAACATGCAAACTCCAGGCAGGTGGTGCCATGGTTGGGATTCAAATCGGCAACCCTAATACTGCCAAGCAGAAGTGCTAGCCAATTAGGCACTGTGCTGCCCATAGATCATCAGTGAACGATTAACAACACTCCGCTCTGGCCAACTGTCTCAGTTTAATGAAATCCAATCTAAACAAAGTCTTAACTGATCAGAAAAAAAATGAATGAGATATTTGATTGGTTTCTGATGTGATAGTTGTGACCGTACATTGATTGCATAATAAAATTGAAGCCTATTTGACAAGACTTTAGTCTTTTTGACTAATGGTGGCCAGGCAGGCAGAATCTTCAAAAGTATTCCATCAAACCAGAAAATGAACATCAACTATTTTTAAACGAATGCCTCTGATGTGAAAGATCTGATGGTGATAACACTGTTCAACAAATTTTTATTTTTTGCCAGTTTTGGAAACAAAAGGATCCATTTCTTAATGAATTTCACATTCTGAGTTCAAATATAACAATGAAATTTGTCAATTGGCTCTAGTTTTTCTGTAAACGGAAAGTTTTCTACTATAGGCGTAATGACTACATAATGCACAATAATTATATAGATAGATGTCTTTCCACAAATATAAAGCAAGTGATATTGACTACATAACAAAGCCTAAATGGCATAATATATTGCATAGGATTACCAAGAAAAATTATAGCCATAAGCCAAGTTGAATCATTTTAATACTTAGGATTCTCACTAGTTTTGTCTTCAGTTTGTGTCGGTTTTGCTTCTTCTCTTGGCTTTTCTCTTGTATTCGAGGAAAGGGCTATCTCTTACAACTGCCGTGACTACACGCTTCAGGTTCTTCCTCACTTGACTCAGCCACAAAGGATTCTGGTGCTTTAGGAATTGGTAGCCCCTCTCCATGAGGAACTGGACGTATTGCCGATGGAATATTTAGATAGTGCACAGATAACTTTTTCTTCTTATTTAGCCCTTTTACAATTGGAGGCACCATACAAAAGTAACAATTACTAACATGATCTGTTGGCTCTCTCCAAATCATTGGCACAGCGAAAGGCATAGATGCCTTTTTTCCATTCAACCATTGCTCCAGTGCCGTCCCACAAGAATTGCAGCATATATGTGGTGCCCAGCTCTTGTCCTGGTCTCCTATATTGCAGCCAAAATACAAGTTGTAGGCTTTCTTAATCATTCCTGTTATCCTCCTTTTTGTGAGATAAAAGTTATTTCACCGCAGATATAGCAGAAATTATCTGCTTTATTCACACAAGTTCGAGGCATTACTGAGTAGCCTATATAAGCATAAAACGAAATGTAAAGACGCATGATCGAACTACAATCAGCTACAGATACTGCAGCTTTTTGCAGTGAAGTGATGCAATTAAAGGCTAATATTGCATCATCTCAGTATACATGCAATTTTCTATTGGTCACCAGTATCAATTGCGCAATATGCAGCTGAAGTTGCATCATAATTTTGAATGGCTTACGTCATTAGATGGGTGAATATATCATGGAAACTAGAGCCAATCAACATTTTTTTAGGGTCATTTTCGTTTTCAGCACCTCAAAATTATGTAAGATTAGCTAATTTTATGCCCAAAAACTTTTTACCTGTTGAACAGTGTAATAGGCACACAAAACCAAGTTAGGAAAAATTGGGTAATTGCCCAATGCTTCAAATATAATTGCTGGCTTTCTTTGGAGCATCCTTGATGCTAAAACCAATGAATCCACCTAAAGTGGTGGGAGATTCTCTAGTTAAAAGCCCCGGGATTATGTTAATTTCCTCACACAATGCTGCAAGTCAATGGCACCTCTTGAAAAGGTCAACTCTGAGCTAGGTTGACGTGATGGAGACATCTCCCCGGGTCATGGTAAGTCACAGGTTACCTGTGCTACTCATTACTGACAGCTGAAAGCATTGAGCGGGGCCGGGCCTCAGACACCGCGTCTCTGTGTGGGACAACCTTAGAACCGACCTGCAGATTTTTAAACACAAATGATGCCCCCCTGGGAGAAAGCAAAGTGTCTAAAAACCACAAAACGCTGTGCAGAGGGCGTAAATAACCCGACTTATTAAGGGCCTACAGCTTTCACTAGCTTCCTAGGTCATCAATAATGTATTATCGACAGTAGGACCACCACACACTGCATGCAAGAACCTTTTTAACTGCTCAGTAAGATACCCAGTTTGGATATTTAAAATGATGTTGACCTTTTTTTTTTTTTTTTTTTCAGTGGATCAGTTTACTGACACGGATTGTTAGCCAATGATTCTCATTTAAGGGCCATGTGGCAAGGTGCAGGAATGCTACGGGGGTTTTCTAATGAAAAATAAAATATATATTTAACATATATGAACAGTATACAAACACTTTTTAGGGCTTTGTATACATATACTTTGAATGGGAAAAAAAAAAAAAAAAAAAAGTACGCGCACACACACATTTATTTATTTCAGGTACTTCTATAGCGCCGTCAATTTACGCAGCGCTTTACATATATATTGTACATTCACATCAGTCCCTAACCCTCAAGGGGCATGTACAATCTAAGGTCCCTAACTCACATTCATACATACACATACTAGGGCCAATTTAGACAGGAGACAATTCACCTACAATTCATGTCTTTGGAGTGTGGGAGGAAACTGGAGTACCCGGAGGAAACCCACGTAAGTACAGGCAGAACATGTAAACTCCAGGCAGGTGGTGTGATGGTTGGGATTTGAACCAATGACCCTAGTACTGCCAGGAGGAAATGCTAACCATTTAACCACTGTGCTGCATATATTATTATTATTATTTTTTTTTTTTTTTAAAGGAAAAAAACCACGCATAATTATGTATTTTCCAGATCCCATGGGGGATTTAACATTGAGGGAAAAATAAATAAATAAATAAAATATATAAATATATATATATATATATATATATATATATATATATACATACATATACATACATACACATATACACATACATACATATATACATATATATATATATATATATATATACACACACACACACAAGTAGTACAGTGTCACCATGCACTGCTAGGGTGACAGTGTGTAAAAAAAAAAAAAAAAAAAAAAAAATTTTATATATATATATATATATATATATATATATATATATATATATATATATATATATATATATATATATATATATATAAAAATAAAAATGTAAAAAAAAAAAAAAAAAAAATTTAAAAATTAGTGTTTTTGGTTATAAACTAAATTGGGTTATTTTTTTTTTCACTAAAAAGATAACAGAATAAATTTTGGCCAAGATTTATGATGAAATATTTATTTGCAAAATTTTATAAGAAAAACACTTTTTTAAAACATTTTTGGACATTTTTATTTACATAGAAAAAAAATTAAAATGGTGGTGGGGGTGAATAAATACCACCAAAATAAAGCTTTATCGGTCTCAAAAAAATTGTAAAAAATTTTATATGGGTATAGTGTTACATGACCGCGCAATTGTCCTTCAAAGTGTGATAGCACTGAAAGCTGAAAATTGGCCTGGACAGGAAGGGGGTAAAAGTGTCTGGACATGAAGTGGTTAATGGGCTCTAATCTAGATTGTAAGCTCTTGTGATCAGGGGCCCTCTTGTATTTTATTGTCCTGTCTCCCTTTATATTGTAAAGCGCTGTGCAAACTGTCGGCGCTATAGAAATCCTGTACAGCGCAGAACACTGATTGACGTAGGGGCGGCCATGATAAATCGCTGTAAATCGGCGGACCCCAGCACACGGCCGATCCTGGCGTCTGGGTGACAGGTACTCTTTGTTCACAACTCCAATGTTCCTTTTTGTTGACTTTTTTTGTTTTCTTTTCTTCTGGGACTCCATAAAAGCAGAACAAATGGCATCCTCATAAAGCTGGAACAGCCTGGGAACACATGGAGGTCCCTCTGACAGTCCACATAAAGCGGGGAAGGGGTCGTTTTGAGATCATTCAGCCTTGTTGACACAGGAAGGGCTGAGTTGTGTGGATGAGATCTGAGCAAACACACACCTTCTGGAATTAAACACGTGGCTGTCAATGTCCCCATCTCTTTCTATTGATCAGCTTTATTAGGCTCCATGCAAACTGGTGTTTTTTTAAGCTCCTAGAAGCAGTTACTTGTGTTTTTTTTCCCTCCTCCTAGAAGCTACTACTACTACTACTACTACTACTACTACTACTACTACTACTACTGTAGGCTATTGGCATGTTTTGAGCTTCAGATTTTAGGAGCAAAAAAAAAAAAAAAAAAAAAAAAAAAAAAAAAAAAAGTTTGTAGAGTTTTTTTGGAGCATTTTTCCAGCAGAAATTAAAAAAAAAAAAAAAAACACTAAATGCTCCAAACAGCTTTTTATCAGTCATTTTATTAGTTATTTTATGAATAACATTATTATAATACAGTTTTTAGGAGCATTTTTCCAGCAGAAACGCTAAACCTAAAACGCTACCAACAGCTTTTTTTAGCGTTTTCTTCTTTTTTTCTACATGCATTGCAAAAGTCTATATATCAATTATTTTATTAACATTATTATATTATTATAATACAGTTTTTAGGAGCATTTTTCCAGCAGAAAAAAAAACATTAAATGCTCCTAACATCTAGCTTTTTCTTCCTTTTTTTTCTACATGCATTGTAAAGTCATTTTATCAGTTATTTTATTAATTATTATTATTATTAGAATATA